GGATATGCTCCAACCGGATTGGCTGCAGCAGCTGCTTTGACAGCTGCGGCAGAAAGTGAACAGTGACCGTGTGGCAGGATCAGGGCCAGTACCACAGTCGGTGTACAGAATAAATTTCTGACCGGGATCTCGTTGGCCACCTGCCGCAGCCACCGGCATGTCGTTAGCAGAGATGCAACCGGTGGTTGCCACCATGTCGGACCGGCGTAGAGATTGCTCGCAGCTCCAGAAGGTAGAGGTATGGCCGATGGCTGTGTCTGAAAACGCCAAGCTGTGGCCGGGGGACGGCGGTGCACAGATGGATGGTATTGGCCACACCCTTTGTATGGGGTGGTAGCTTGTGCCACCGAGCCTCTTGGCAGCTCCGCCGTTGCCTGACGATTGGGGAAGCGACGTCCCGCCTTGCTTTTCAACAGCGCCAGTCTGTGGTGCTCCATCGGCTGTTCCGGGCACAACGGGCCATGCGGCTGGAGGTGCTCTAGAATTTTAAAGATTGCGAGACATTGCTGACACTACTTCAAACCCCTTTCATTACACCCGTGACTCGAGATACTGCAAACTGTTTTCAGATCAGAAGTTTCTCAGTTCAAGAGGTTCGAAAAATTTCTAAACAAGGGGTTAGAAAAGTTTGTTTCTTGGAACAAAAATAATTTTATAACCTCTTGGTAAAAAAAATTTAACAATTTAATAAGTTTTTATATTATTCTTTGAATCTTCAACCTTATAATTGGAACATGAAAAAAATTTGAAACCATCGAACATAAACTTTAGAACAACTGGAAAGCTCAGGATCTCGCGAATTTGAACCTCAGCCGTGTTGCAAAGTTGCAAACTTTGCAAATTCAAACATCAGCGATACTAGCAAATTTAGATTGAACCCGAACATCTCGAGCTCCACAACATCCCCACTGTGACAATGACTCGGGAAGTATAGTACAATGATCGCATCCCCCATTACATCGTGGCGAAAAACTGAGCAACATTTACGAGGCATGCATGTCGCGAAGGACCAAGATCTCACGTTATTAAAAAAGCAACGAAACAATTCAAATATTAAAAAAATTGTTTAGTTGATGTTGCTCAGTCGGCGGCTCGGCGAAATTTTGCGCATCTTATTTTATGCCTGCACATAACATAAATATTGCAAAACTGCCAGAACTTCCTAGAGCTAAAAACTTCTCCTAGACACCTTTAGAAAGACTAGATTCGACATTCTGATCAAAGTCGGCGCAGGCTTCATGGGAGGGCGGAACGCTACTTCTGCATTCTCTTCAGCTATAAGGACTCGTCATTACAATCCAAAATATTCTTGGTGCTGCCTGGCTACTGGGGCCCTACGTGTAGGACCCCAAGGCTGCTGAATGCCATCGTGCCTATGTCACTCGTCTCACAGAGCAGGGGAGCTCGTCTCACTGCTCCAAAGACATATTTTGGTTCCATTATAATTGGAATTAGCTGCAAAGCTCACCAGATTGTGCCCTCCAACAGGGAGACCATCGTCGCCACGGAATGCAGTCTTCCAGTTAACCGTCGTCTGGCGAACAATTTCTAGGCATCCGCCGAGCTCTCAGCTTGAGATTCGAGGGTTGTCTATATCTCTATGTAACGCCAATGGCGCTAATCCACACTCCTTCACTTTGCTGCATCGCTATCCAGGGGCAAAACGCTAAAAAATAGAGAAGAATCTGGTCTGCTTGAGCGATCCACACTGTCCTACTCGTTGCTCATCCAAGCTGCGAGTGGCGCCGCTAGTTTGGTGAGCTGTGGCTGCACGCCGACGCCCCTCTTCGAAAACAGACAGGCACTGCACGGAGAGCTATTGTAGCAAGGAAGAGGCCTCCGACGAGCTGTTCCATTTGATGGGGCGACAGACCCGGGTGCTCCTCAGCCGCTGCCAGCCATTGTAGACTCCTGCAGTTGGATGCGTCGGACGGTCCAATGGGCTCTCGCAGGGCCTCGAGCCAGTGGGAAGAAGATGGTGTTCCTCCCTTCTTTCGCGTTCACTGAGGACGAGCTGGTGTAAGTTTCCTGGCACTCGTGGAGGCTCAAATGTGGGCTGTCGTTGGGCGGCAGAAGTCGGACCAGCCGTGCTGCAGGCAACTTCTGGCATCTGCTCTAGCCTCGCTGAACACAGTGGGGCAGGAAGTCCTACAAGATCGGGAAAGCGCTCGTGCCCGGCCGGGCATGAATGTTGGTTTGACAGAGACGAAGGCACATGCAGTCTCTCCGTACCTCTGTTTGGGAAACGCCACAGACCAAGTACTGCACGGCTTTCTCTTGTCACTGATACAGTAATGAATCTGTTGCTTTATTGAAAGCCTCTATCATTACTTTAGACGGCCAAAGAGACCAAGCGGCGTAAAATATGCCTTTCTCGTGCAACTTCCTTACCCAATTTAGCTCCTTCAGTACCATAGATGAGGGTAATCTACCTGTGGATGTATGGGGTGTCGGACAAGGCAGAAAAAAGATAAGCAGTATGTTTCATGCCTCAAGACTTAATCGTGCAGTGCCAAACGCTCAGACTCCACTAGAAAGAAGGACCTGCAGTTTAGGTAAGACGAGAGTTTGAAAACTTGCGGTTCACAAAGTGAAACGTTAGAAGCAAAAAGCTGATTATTCTGATCGAAGAATGGTGTTAGGCAGCAGAAGTCGACGGAGCTAAAGCCCGTCTATACTGAAAGTAGCATCAAGCCCTCTTCCCCTCAATCTCTCGCTTTTTCCTCCTCTCCAAGAATCTCTCCCCCTCTTATTTCGACACTAGCTCCTCCTAGGCTGCCCTTCCACTGATCGCCGCCGCGCCAGGCGACTGCTGGCAATCCCCTGCTAGATCAAAGTTTTCTGCACGATTTCAACTCGCAGCTTTTGTGTTTTCGCTAGGATACAAGTTGCTGGTGTCTTCGACATCTTCGCTAGTGCGTCTTTCTATCACTTCACATCAGGAGCAAGCACGTGAGTTTTGTCGAGGGTTTGGCTGTGCGTCTGCTCGGATCATTCAATTCGAGATCAGATGCAAACTTCTGCTTTATGAAGATTCATACAATAAAACTGTGAGACAGATCGTCTCAATCTCATTTCGTTTTCGGCAGACAGGGGAGCCAAGGTGACAAGCTCGCACACGTTTTTGTTATGGAACGCGAAGCCGCGATCTTACGCTGCAAACGGAGTAAAGCACATTGTAGTTTCCGTATTGCCGACTCGCTCCTTTCCAAAACAGTCGACAGCAAATATTATCGCTGCTTGCGCCTTTTCGTTTCTGCTTTTACACACCGATGTGATGAGATGAAAAAGGGTGATTGAGTGTTTTGCAAACACGCACAAGTGATTTAGTAACACCACGTCATAGCGGCAGTTTGATGACATTTCTAAAAGCGAAACACGTGACACACACTCTACTGATAAAAAAAAGCTTCGACGGGTGGCCGGCAACGTACCATAATTTCCCGAGAGATAGCCCACCTACAATCGAAAGCAAATTAAATGAAAATAAGGAGCAGGCAAACTTTTGGCGGGCCATAAAAAAGAAAAAGTTGAAAAAATGCTAGTTTTAGATTGACCTGCTAAAACCTGCGATCATAGGGAGGGGTGATGAACCAGATGACTGTCCTTTCCAGTCAGTAAAGTTTGCTTATCCCCCGCAGTGGCTAAGTAACACCATTTCTGCCAAGGTTGCCATTGGCCAGGGCTCTGCAATTACTAGAAGTTGGCTATCTTTCTGTGTTGCACACATGTGCATGCCGCTGGAGAATGCAAGGCTGCGACACGGTAGGGCACAAATGGCAGACGGAAGTGGTGAACCGAAACTAGACAGACGCTCGGCCAATCAGTGGCAGTGGAAAGGGGAACTTTGAAGAAGAGGAGGAGGGTTTTTCTAGAGGGTGGAAGCGCGTCGGAGGGTCAATCAATGGCGCTACTTTTGTTATAGAGCGGCTTTAGACAGGGCGTCCGTTTAATGCCGAATCTCATCTAGATGACTATGTATAATGAGCAGATAGCCTTCTTTTGAACTGATTTACAGTTGTTATTGACAGTGGCACTTCCAAAAAATGCTATGGATAACTGGCACAACCCTCCCTAGGAGCACACTGTTCTATGAATGTTCTTAGGATGTCCTATGAACGTCCACAGGACATCCCCAAAATGTAAGGACACCCTAAGGACATTCACAGAACTAAGTGTGCTACTAGGGAACCCACCTGCTTTTCAGTCGAAAGTAACGTTATCCATATTGTCGAACAAAACCAGCCTTGTTAGCCGCCAGAAACAGTCATATTCCGTCACAGTACAACGTGGCAAAGGACAAAAGCTACGGCACCTGGGGCAAATCGGAGTGGCGTAGCGCAAGACAGCCCCGCACGCTTCCATTCAATGCTCGCACCAACTTCCCGGAGTCGTAGCTTCCACCGTCTGCCAAGTCGCGTGAAAATGAAGCAGAGCAACGATTGTCCCCTGGACCGATATTGCGGTGCCTGGAACGTGTCTTCGACTGGTGTTTACTGTCCCATCCAAAGTGGTCCAGAAGCGGCAACGAGAGTTGGCAAGTCACGCTGCCAGATGTCGCGGTCCTGGCAGTCGGTTACAAGAATGCTGCCAAAAAGGGCGAGTGCACGTGAGGGTTGCCATTGTTATGCCGTCCCAACTCCCGGCTGCTGTAGCTTCCGTAGACAGAAGAGCCGAAGAGCGACCTGCAGCAGAACGGGTGTCGGACGCCTCCACGTCTGCTGCTGCGCCACCGCTAGGATTGCGGCTGGTAGACAACTTCACGACATCAGGGATAGGACCATATTTGAGGATGCGACAAACACATCAGTCGGAGACATGCTCCAGGCACCGGTATTGCCAGTGTCGCCTCCAAGCGTGGAGTAACCGGCGGATGCGGGTCAAAGCGTCCTCAAGAACGTTGGCCGTTCGGACGTCTCCCCTGAAACCGGCGTCCGGCTCCATGCGCAAGGCGTTGCCCTTGGTCAACCCTGGGAAAGAACGGAAAAAAAGCCTCTCACGTGGGCGGAGCGGTCCACACTTTCCGGGGCTCAGGACCCCAGCGGCTCGGCCGCGGCTGTTCCTGCTGCTGCACGTCCTCCTGCGCCGTGGCCCTTGCAGCGGCCAGCAGGGCCTCGGGCGAGGCCCCCGCCAGCGGCGCCGCGATCAGGTCTGGCCTCGCCGCCTGCAGTACCTGCAGCGCGGCCACTACGTCCATGTGGCTGGGCACGGGCTGGGCCCGCTCAGGGGGCGCCCGGGACCGGTGCAGCCCGCCCGCCAAGTGCGTCTCCCAGTGCAGCACCAGGGTGCCGCAGACCGGACACAGGCGCTCCCGCTCGGCGTCTGAGTAGCCGGCCTTGGGTTCGCGGGGGTGCCGGTCGCTCAGGGTGCAGCCGCGGAAGGGCTCCGGCACGGTCTCCGGGGCCGCGCCGCGTTCGGGCCGTGCCTGCTGCCGCCACTCGTCGTGCGACACGTACGAGATGGGCAACTCGCCCACCTGCACCGTCCAGGTGCACGCGTGGCGGACGTCGCGGCACCCCCGGCCGCAGGATGCGCAGGGGGCCGCGGGCGCCGCGACGACCTCGGCTGCCGCAACCGCTGGACGAGGATTCCGCAGCTGAGATTGCTGAGGCGTTGGCGCCCTGTACGGTGAGGCGCGGGTGGGCGACGCCGCGATGGCCTGCGAGGTGCTCACGGTTCCGTCGCGATCTTCGTCGTCGTGCGGCTGTGGTCCCGGCGCTGGCTCGGCCGAGAAACCGAAGCCCGAACGATCGCCGGGGCGACGGTATGGAATGGGTTTGGGACTCGACTGAGGCACGCTGTACGGCTGGACGTTGTGCGCGAATGTCCGACGGTAAGCCATCCTGAAACCAAGACGGGCCTGGTCAAAAAGCTTCGAATGGCACTCGACCGTTTCCTCCCAGCCGACGAACCTTCAGCGGGCTTGCCTTCGGCGGCGCTGAACAAAAGTCCGAGAGTCGTCAGTCGAACGGCCGCGCGTCGCGCGATCTCGCGATGCGGGAGAACACTGCAAAGCAACCAACGAGACCAGGCACGCAATTACTCGTTGTGAAACGCGGAAACGGCAGATTATTATTTCAGTTTCATCTTCCTGTGCTTACCCGCTTACCCCTTGACGACTTGAGGGGTTTCAGCTATCTGTCGGCAGAAAAATCAGTCAGAAGGCACATCAAGCACGCACAGCACACGCTCAACACGCTCCCTTGGCCAGCTTGTTTTGGCTTGGCTGGCTTGGCCGGTTGGCTGGCTTGGCTCTGGTCCGTCTGTCCGTCCAGTCCGGTCTTCATAAATAGCAATAGGACGGTACCTCGCGCCCCCTGGACTACTTCAGCATCATTATGGACTTATGGTCTGGTCGGCAGCTTCCCGCTCCAAGTTAGAACGGGATTGCTGCGTTTCGTAGAAGGTATTTCTCATCATATTGAAAATTACTGTTGCGAACCTGCAGATTTACCAGACATGTGATCTATCTGCCAAGGGTACAACATTGCCCACAGACACTAGCCCTGGTAGGAATTGATTTACGGTTACTGCTCTAAAAAGTGACTTTTACACGAAGTTGTGCCTGCAACTCAAACGAAAAGGTACCAAGTGTCCCGCAACAGCGACGAAGGCTAGATCACCTTAAACTTCCACATTTATTTTGCAGCGTGTATCACTGCCTTTTGCGACCCTGTGCGCCTGGATCAACCCCTTCAAAGTATGAATAAAGTATGATTATTCCACACGCAAGTTCGTCTGCTTCTCTCGACGTCAGAACGACGCCGATCTTTGATTGGCTCTGATGGAGGGACAGTGGCCAAGACAAAAATTTCCAACTGGGATCCAACTGGTCCCAGTTGGGATTAGATCAACTGGGGGTCCCGGTTGGAGTTGGTCCCAGTTACAACTGGTCCCAGTTACCCTAGCAACAATGAAACACGGCACAAAATAGAAGGTTGACAAGTCTTTATTGTCAAAAACTTGGAGGATAAAACTAAATAATAGGTTCGGTGACGTACACGCTTCCGGGTTTAACCACTTGCTTGCAACCAGCGGCGTAGACTTTCCATCTTCCCGGGGGAGGGGCAGGCCGAGTTCTCCCGGGGGGGGGGGGGGGGGGGGGGGTGGTGCTGGGTGCTGTGCATTACCTTCTCGCCAGAACTGGAGATGGAAGCTAATTAACGAAAGCACGCTGGGATTCAATTTCCCATGTATTTTGTCAATAAAGGCAACGTGCACATTATTTTGTTTACATGCCACTACTAGAAGCTCGTTACATGGCACAAACAGCGTCTCGGCAAGGATCATGGCCCGGGCCCGGGGGGGGGGGGGGCTCTGCCCTCCCCCCGGATTTCACCGGGCACAAGTCCCGATGCCCCCCCGTAGTCTATGCCAATGCTTGCAACGATTGAATCACTCTTTCAGAGGTAGTATTCGTGAGAGATGAAGGAAGATCGACCGTTATGATGTTAGCCTGAGACTGAGGCAGCTGTGTTAGAGACGTATCCTCGACTGTTCCTTTTTCTTCTACTTTGAAACTTCCTCTTTTCCTGCCTCAGTCTCAGGCTAACATCATAATGGTTAATTTCCACCAGCTCGCCTGCGCACTCACTACAATATCATCGACCGTTGGTGTCTGTAAGTAGACCTCAAGGCTGCAGTTTGTTTTGAGGTCTACCCACTATCCTTCAATCAGAGACAATCACAGCTTGGAGTCTTTTTGTCACAACCTCCGCAAAAGAAGCAGACAAACTTGCGCTTCACATTAATGTGAGCTCGTTCTGAGCATAGTGCATGGTGATGCATGGCAAACTTCCACAGTTTTTTTGCAACGTACATACCGCATGCACCGGGAGGCACTCACTTGATCGAATGACGTTTTAGCGAACGCCCACGTTTCATCGAACGACACTTTAGCGAATAGTCGGACGCCGCGAAGCGGCGTTTTCGGGTGGGCCAAGTGAGTTCATATTTTTGTAATGAGTTGCCGTAGACTGTCGCCGCGAAGCGGCGTAAAGTGCAGCACGACGTATGGGTTAACGCGCGCCCCCGTTATTTGCTAAAACGACCATTCGCTCAAATGTCGCCGTTCGCTAAAATGTCATTCGCTCTTGTGATATGGACCCGCATGCACCATCAAGATTGCTGGTCTTGGCAGCCTATTAATGTGAGCTCAAACTGAACATGCGCTCTTAACAGCACCCTTGAATATGGCGTCCGGTGAATACCACCAATAACTTCCAAAATTCTACTGGGATGTTCCAGAGCAAGATGCGAAATGAAAAGCAAGTAGCATTCTGATCCGTGTCTCCACAAGGTGGCCGTGTGTGCTGCCAACTTAATCAAGCTACCCCGCTCTGTCTCGTCTCCTTTATTACGTTTCCCCTCCGTGTCGTGCTGTCCCATATCATATATAATACCGCGCTTCCCACAGGATCACTCTTTCTAAAATTCTCCGATGACCTTCAGTAAGTTTTTAATCAGAACAATGTTTATCGTCACTAATTAAAAAGTTTTAGTTTAATATCAGACCACAGCCTCCTCTATACTCACAAAGCCTGGCAGTTCGACGACGGAGCCATGGAGCGCCCGGTCGCAGATTTGGAGAGCGAGGATCTGGTAGCACAGAGCATTTCTTGGGGGGCCTGTACTTAGCGCACAGCTTTTGCAGTGGCGAGTACACGAAACATGGTTTTCAAACTTGACGAGAAAAGAAGAGGTAGTGCCAGAAATGCAAGTACCACGAGCGGACATTCCATCGCTTGGGAGAAGTGTGTTTAGGCGTCTCGCCACAGCGGGACGCCTGTTACATGGCTCCTCTGATCCGTTGTCTGCCGCTCTACCTTTTCACTTTCAGCGGCCATGCCTCATGGCGATTTTCCAGGCTTTGTCAGCATAGAGAACGCTATGATCAGACTTATCGTGACAAGTAATAACTTAGTAGTACTATATTTAAATTTTAATTTCAGCATCCCTTTAAGACACTTTTGTTATTTATGACATCCGTTATGTCGTGCCGTAACGAACAATTTAGGAAAAACATCTTTGTGTAGCATGCACCTGTAGATATCCGCACCGTGTAACATTTCCAACTTTTAGATGTGCATAGTCCATGGATTAGAGTCTGAAAACTACGGAACGTGCGAGGCTGTTGCTAGAAAGCATGGACGTGTCAAATGAGCTACACGAGAAGGCGGTTGTGCATGCTGGCCCAGAAAGCTGTCCACGTACACCAAAAGACAAAAATGAAGGCCGTTTATAACTCCCTGTAACGCCGAATTAGAGCGCAGCTCTTGAGGAGGAGGAGGGAAGGGTACTGAGGGGAAAGTATGCCCCTCCTCCCTCCTCATCCTGTCTGCCACTCCTTCCTCTGAGCGGCGTCGCCGTCGTTTTGCGAGGGTCACGTAACCTCACGGGGGTCACGTGACGTCACTGGGGTCACGTGACCCCCGTGAGGTCACGTGACGATGACGTCATCAGTGACGTCTCTGATGACATTATTGTCATTGTCACTGATGACGTCATCGACATCGCCATCGCCAGTGATCACATCATCAGCAACATCACACATCCAATGCACTGTGCAATTACGCCGACGGCCCTCAAGCCGGAAATGGGCGCCTAAGAGCTGTGCTCAAAGATGACAACGAACGAAAAGAGGCATCGTTACTGTCGGTTGGCTGTATGCGCCGCTAAGAGAACAGAACATGCCACAATGCTCCTTTTTTTTTCTCTCTTTCTTTTTATGGCAAGCAATAGTCCCATTGGTCTGTACACAAAGTGGGAAACCGTTACGCCTATCTTGCCGGCACTTGGTGGGCTGTTCTTAGAGGCTCAGTCGAAGGACACCCGCTGAACTCGGCAACAGAGTGGCAGAATCCACCGATGTCAAGGGGCTGGTCAGTGCTTGACCTTGCGATTGAGGACCTCCCTGTTGGCCGGACCGCTCCACACAGTGGCAAAGAGCCGGCGCTCCTCGGCCAGGGCTTCTGCCGTCGACAGCTGCCTCGCCTTCACCACCGTCCGCTTGAGGGTCTGCAACCAGACGCTGGAAATCAACCTATGTTTCCGGTTGTCCGAAGCATCATCATATCGTCACATCGTCACCATCTAGACGCGACATTGTGGGCCTGCATGGTACGGGCCGTTCCCTGTCTGCGGAGTCGCGGCTCTCCTGAACCAATAAATTGTCCGTTAGAAAACATGATTGCGCTTTGAAGACGGGGACATAGGAAGGACAGACACCACAGAGCGCTAACTTTCAACTGATTTAATTCAAGAACCTCAGCGTAGAAACACACAGCTTCACCGCACCACATCTCAACCGATCCGTGGCCCAGCCACGGACCGCAAGTACGCCAACTCCTTATCTGCCAAGTCAATTGACTCCACACTGACACACCACGTGCCGGAACTATTTATAGCGTCAGCCTCCATAATCTCTCTAACAGTCCTATCTTTGTGCCTAGCAAGAACAGTAGACGAAGCAAATAATGGTTTGCACCCGCAGTCATGACAGTGACACGACAGATGGCCATCCCGAACCCCGTTCACTTTCTGGTAGTGTTCCCTTAGCCGTACATTTAAACATCTGCCTGTCTGGCCGACATAAATCTTGCCACATGAAAGCGGAATTTGATATACCACCCCTTCCGTGCACGCGACAAACGGACTCCTGTGCTTGATTGGGCAGCCCGTCGGCGCTTTGCGGAATGGGTCTGTCATCTTGCACATTTTTGCGAGTTTTTCAGGTGCAGAGTAAACAACTTTTACGTTTACACGTTTTGCTATCTTTCCCAGATAGTGCGCTGTTCTGTGCATGTACGGCACAACTGCAACTTTTTGTCTCGCTTAACCTGCCTCTGGGCGCGGGCTAACGTCCTTTCTAATTTTCTTAAGGACGCCTTCTGCTACGGATACAATCACAGCCTTTGGAAATCCGGCACGCTGCAAGCGTTTGTCTTGTTCAGTCAGACTCAAGGCTCGGCGGATAAGGAGTTGGCATACTTGCGGTCCGTGGCGGGGCCACGGATTGGTTGAGATGTGGTGTGGTGACGCAGTGTGTTTCTACGCTGAGGTTCTTGAATTAAATCAGTTGAAAGCTAGCGCACTGTAGTGTCTGTCCTTCCTATGTCCCCGTCTTCAAAGCGCAATCATGTTTTCTAACGTATCATACCAACTTGCCCAACAATCAGCACTTGTCAATAAATTGTCATTATTATCATTATCTTAAATCGCAGAAAACACTCTTTCATTCTCCAAAAATGTTGAAACAGTTTGTGACAGGACAAAGCAATATCGCCCGAGCTTCCCTACACTGTATCCAAAGCTCAGGAAGTCGCATTTTTTAATTATAATGATCGCCAATCGTGCCCCGTTTGAGCCTTTTAAAAAAATGAATATTTAATTTCAGCGTTCTTTTAAGGCTGGTTCACACATTTGTGTTTTACTGCGATTGACTGTGCCACGACCTTGTATTATGAACACACTGGCACCACCTATCGAATAGAATCCCTTTGATAGCCACAGTCGACGACAGGTTAAGAAGCCAGTAGAAGATCCACCAGCTCCACCTCCAGCATGTGCTCGTTGCCTTCCGCCGGGTGCTAGTTGCGCGCCTGACAAAGCCTTATCACAGGCAAAAAGCTTGCACTCCAGGTGGAGCACCTAGGTACTAGTTGTGAACCAGTAATGTTTCACAAACCCCTTCTGGATCGGGTGAAGTGACGGGGGACCCCATCCACTGTGACGGGAGAGGGGGTATTAGACAATCGCAATGACGAAAGTCAACTTCGAAGAGACTCTGAAGCTCTGAGACAGATAATAATCGGCCCCACTTATTCAGCATGCGCGGTTTGGTCGATTTAACTTCGTAGAATAGCGGCGCAGATAAAACAAATTGTATCGCTTCGCTCAATCGACGTTTGAGGGCTTCGGGGATCCTAAGGAGGCTTTCGGGGGACCTCGAAAGGTCTGTAGAGTTCTGTTTGAGAATTGGCATACTATAGACCTCTCAAGTTTTTCCGGTACTCGAGGGATAAAATCTATGTGCTATCTACGAGAAATTATCTCCTACATAATTGTAAGAATTATTCCAAGCTCAAGACGGAAGAAAGATGCGCAAAACGTGCATAAATCCCGAGTGTTCTGGGACTACTTGATAACAGGCTGAAGTTGAGCTAGTTGGTACATAATGCAAAAGGAGACGGTGAGCTAGAATGATAGGGACAAAACACAGACAGACACACACCGCTGACTATCAACGAAGAATTTATACTTCATCACTTTAAGCCAAAGATTCACACCTAAAGTGATGCCAAAAAATCACCCTAAATCCTTACTACTAAATTAAAATAAACTAAATTAAATGATTAAATTTGGTCACTTACACCTCCTTGACCCAACCCACAAACCACTGCCTGACACATATCCCTTTTATTCCCTTTCACGGGGCCGTGCCACATTGCAAAAACTGCCAGGCTTTCTTGCTGACCGTGAAGGAGGGCATGCTCATGCAGTCATCGGCGCTTTCCTCAATGGCCAGGGCCTCGAAAATCTCGCGCGCAAAGGCATTTCTGTGTATGTTTCTCTGTTTCTCCCTCTCCGTGTTTTGTCCCTATCGTTCTAGCTCACTGTTTCCTTCTACCCGACAGATAACGCCGGCATGTCGTCTCGCCTAGAGTAACAAAAAGCCAGGATATCGCCTTCCCTTTCCTTTCGCCGCCGACTCCCCAATGGCAAAGAGGGGTAGCGCGCGCCAAATTCGAATGCGGCACTTGCGGGGAACTGGATTTGCGAGCGCCGGGTTTGGGGCGGGACGCGCTTTCGCTCCGCATTTGCGAAACATATATCTCACATCGACAAACGGGTAGCTTCTCGAACTTTTGGACATTGCGTGTATCACTTAGATACGCGTAACTGCATTCTTTTTACGACACGAGTGCCGTTTCAAAGCGACCACGTGCGAGCAGACGATACAGTCTAAGCTCTTTATAACAGACCTTGATTTTGACCAAGGTTTTGGTCTGCTGTAAGAGGAGTATGTTGTACGCAGATAGGAAGTTGAGTCAATGGTATGTAGAGGAAAACCAACCGAACTTCACAAATCGGTATGTTATATCCAATTGTCCTTTGTAATTAGGTCTGTTGTAATGAGCTTACACTGTACAACAATTCACGATGCACCGTGCGTGCGCTTCCGAGGAACCTGGGAGACAGACGACGGTGCACGTGCGGTGAAGTGCTGTCCCACGTTGTCACGGTCACTTCTGCCACGATACTTGAAGTAAAAAATTTGGGACCGCCGCGATACTCCGTCAAAAAAAGCTGCCGGAGCGGTCGCGGTGCGGTCAATCCCAGTCGAATGTAAATGCGCAAATCGGCCTTTAATCTCGACTCCGGAGGGTACCGCCGAGTGAACGGAAAAAGTGTGTGTTGACGCAGCCTCACCTGCAGTACGTGGGGGTCTCCCCGTGCGTGCTGCCGCAGCCAGTCCCTGGCCTGGGCCACGGGGTCCTCCGACTCTTGCAGCAGCCCGTCAGCCAGCCCCAGCCGCAACGCCTCCTCCGCTTCCACGCTGCGACCCGACGACAGCAGCTCCAGCGCTGCAGAGGGGCCCAGCAGGCGCACCAGGCGCGTCGTGCCTCCCCAGCCGGGAACCAGGCCCATGCGCACCTGGGGGAAACCGTCGGTCCTTGGGTATGCCACTCCCTGCGGGGTTCTCCGACGCTTCTGAGGGCAGAGGAACCCCTTCCGGGCTCGACATCAACGCAATACAACGGTACAAAGACGTACCAACCTCGTAAGCAGTAATGCGAGTACTGGGGGTGCTTACCTCATAGTTATCCCTTGGTAAGTGGTTCAGAGTGCAAAGAACACTTAACAATAGGGCAGGGTCAGTCGAGAAAATTTGGTTCCTAGAAATTAGGTTCCTAGTCTGCGCAATCATCTTAGGTGACTCCGAGTCGTAGAGTATGAACCCATACAACCAGCAACGACCTTTCTGAATTCCAAGTACTTTTTTTTATATCTCATACATGCAACCTTGAGTTTCTTTGATTTTTAAGTGTCAGAAGAAAAAGACTCTTCGACGTTGAAAGTACCAATGTCGAAGCATGCGTTGCAAACTCGAAAGTGGTGCTCTCGTAATACCTTGTTACGAGGGGAAATCAGGAAGTCCTTGCCCCTATTTTTTATTAGCCAAAATGAGGTACGTACAAATAATTACAAACATACATACTATTCTACGCACTTTACACTATTTGTCCACATAGTCCCCAACCCGGTTCAGACATTTGTCCCATCGCAGCACTAAATTTGAGATGCCCCTGTGATAGAATTCTCCCCGCTGACTGTGGTACCACAGACGGACTGCTGTCTTGGCTTCATTGTTGCGCGTGAGTCGCTGTCCTGCCAAGAACTTCTCCAGTAGACCGAAAACGTGGAAACTACTAGGGGCGAGGTTGGCATTGTATGGTGGGTGCTCCCGACTCTCCCAGTGAAATGACCGAAGCTTGTCGGCGGTTCTGATTGCCACATGTGGCCTCGCATTGTCATGGAGGATAACCACATTGTCCACATCAAGAATCCCTCGGCGCTTTCGCCGAGGCCGGGCAGTGCTCGTTCAAGGAAGTTCCCCCGCTGAAAATGGAAATGTTGACTTCACATTTAAAGCCATAATTTGGCAAAAAAAAAAATAAGGCAAAGACTTTCTGATTCGCCCTCGTATATGCTGGTCTTGATGTCGTCTTGGTGTCTTTTTTTTTGCTTCGTTAACTCCTGCTTGGGCTCAAATGAGTTTGCAGTATTAATACTATAAAATAAATTAATAAAAAGTAAGAACTGCCAACTATTCTGAGGTTATCAATGCCATTGAAAATCAAAAACATTCTTTAAGTTCTGGCAATGACCTCATCAACGCAAAAATACTAAAAAATACAAAGCATGCGTCATCTCTGTCTTTAACCAATATTTTTGGTGAATCCTTTTCCTCTGATAATGTCCCTCTGGACTGAAAAATCAGCCGTGCCAACCCCTTACATAAGTCTCGAAACCGAAATTCACCTTTAACCTTTTGGGGTCATGTGAGCCTTCCCCTTGTTGGCCCCTCAGGTCAGAATTAGTTTATGCAAAAGTGATGCAAGCAACAAATGACTTCAAATTTAACGTTTTTATTTTAATATAGTAATATGTTCAACTGAAAATAACTTTCAATCTCTTGGGTGCTTTCAGTTCTTGAAATGCTAGCGGTACTTGCGCAGCGTGTAGTACTTTTCAAAGCAAGCTGGAGGGTGCAGGCCAGGTTGACGAGTGCAGGTTTTGCAGTAGAACACTGTTTCGCGCCGTTGCCCCTTGGTTTTTCTGTCGCTGCAGACGGCGCAGCCCTTGCTTTTGCTTCCATCGAGTTTATAAATAAAGTGGTTCTTTCCAACCAGTCTCTAGTCGCATCTCCATCGGAAGAGCGCCCCTGTTTCCTTGGCTGGTAGCGGACATTTCCAACAAGGCCCTTTATCAACGCCTTCCGAAACGTAAGGTGCCGCGGCGCTTGCTTCCCTTGGCTGATTTTTTCGAGGCAGAAGAGGATGTAGCTGTTGACGACTCCCACTTCCAGCAACCAAACAAATAGACGTGCGCGACAGCGTCGGCGCACGTCTCCTCCTCACTCTCGGTGCTGTCACCGTCACTCTCTGGTGACACATCAGAGGCTATCTCAGAGGCCTCGTTTGGATCATAGGTGTCTTCTCCACTAAAATCACATTCACTGTCGCTTGAGCCACAAGCCTTTCCGTAAAATGCGGATGGAGTAAAGGCTGCCATGCTTAACTCGTAAAAGGGCGCGCAACATTCTCGCCCGCGCAATTTGCAAAAAAAAAAAAAATGTGTAGCGTCACTTGCGGCACCTTTCGGAGGGTGAAGAAACTAAGAAAGTCTAGTTTACATTCTTATGACAGATGGCGCAAGTTGAAATTGTCGGGGCGCGCCCGACACCTGACCGCAAAGGAGAAATGGGCCTGTCGGGGGAGCCCCGACATTTGACCAGAACCTGAATATTTTTTTGTCGGGGGTCACCCGACACATGACTCCAAAGGGTTAAATTACCCTCCTATATCACTGACCACGATTCCTTTAAAAATCTTGGAACATATACTATTTTCTAATGTTATTAGATATATTGAATCTAAGAACCTTCTCAGTTGAACTTCGATTTAACAAAGTCACCGGGACCCACTAATTATTTCGTTAAAGGGACAATGAAGGCAATTTCGGATATTTTTTTGGCAACTGAACTGGGTTCCAGGCACGTCTCAGGCCACGATGCCCAAATTTCAGCCGAAACTGGCGCTTGTGTGCCATGAAAATCAATTAAACGGCCGCGGTATTAATTAGGGGCGTCGCGAACCGGCCGAGGTTCGAGTTCGACCAGGTTCGACTTTTTCTAATTTTCAGTGGAAAGTTCAACGAACCTTGTATTGAGGTTTGTCTTGAGTGTGCATGTGCGACAGGCTGGCCAGTTGGCTTCAGATTGGATGGTGATAGCTAGGGGATGAATTAAGGGCAGCGCTGATTGGTTAATTCAGTTAGAACAGTACAAAAAATTCAGTTAATAACTTCTTCAGTGATTAAATTTAGTTTATTTTAATTGCAGTTGTTCACAAAATTCACATAACCCTTTGCATAAAAAAAAAAAAAATTCTCCAAACCTAGAGATGCTTGTATCAAGGTCTGGCCACACTGTCCGCAAAGTCGAACCAGTCGAATCTGGAGAGGAGTTCGAAGTCGAACCCCGAAAGTTCGACCAAAAAATCCGGTTTGACAAAAGTTTGCGACAATCCTAGTAGTAATAATCGTACCAAATCGACCGGGGTGACGCCCCGAGAGTTGCGGGAGAAGCCAGGAGAAGCGGAGCTCACGTGACCGGTGCAAGGCCAAGAAGCGCGACGTCACAAGAGACGCGTCAGCGATTGGTCGAAACGAGAGACGTGCCCTCAATCACGTTTTGATTCACAATTTTTAGGAATATTGTTCTAACTTCCGTTATAATAACCATGAAAAGTATAAATCGGACCGAAAATGATTCCTAAACCGTAAATAAAACAGCATAACTGTTTTTCTCTTTGCTATGCTGGATGCGAAACGGGCAACGAGCAACTATGGGCAAACAAAATAAAATAAAAAAAGAACACGCGGGAGACGCTTAGTTTTGGTTTCAAATGTCGGTGTCGTGTTTACTTTGGAAACACGGTACTCGAAAGGTTCTGCAAAATGGTAGTCATGCCAAATTTGTGCGCTGTAGATGGCTGTTCTAACGGTCGACTGAAGACCAGTATTCGTTCGGGCGACTCTAGTCTTCACGTGCGGGTTGCTGTTCGTGTTATTTAACGACGAAAAGAGAGGACGTCCGACTTTGGTGGGAACCAAAAATGGCGCTGTTTATTTTCTCCTTGGGGAGCGTCCCCCGCAAAGGAACCGGTTCCCGGAACGGCTTGGTCGCTGCCGCTTTCCCCCCGGCATCTCACCCGCGTCCCTGTTCTTCGGCAACACGCCGCTCTCATCTCGCCCGCGCGAATGTTGCTCACTGCTTCGAAGCCTGCGGGACGCTCGTTGCCGGCTGGGTGGTCTCACTCGGGTGATGGTGAAGGCTGCCACACACATACTCCTGTTCTGTTAATGTTAGGTCACTGTACGGAAGCTTGAACCTGCTCGCGAAAGCGGCATTGTCGTCCATGTTGACAGATTCGACGAAACGACCGTGCCACCGCGCTGCTATAACCCACCGCGGTAACCAGAGCCTCGATCTCATAAATGCTACCGATACCGACTATTCACACTTGACATCACTCCCTACGTCACCGCCGTTTTCGGAGGCCCAGAAATGAGAATGGAGATAGTTTAGTTTCGGTTTCTTCAGTTCTTTCGTAGGCACAGAAATACGCGTCACAAATGTCTACAAAAAATTGGGCAGTATGCTAGGTTCCCAAGAACCCTAAAAACACCACTTAAAAGAATTAAATAAAGTTGTCTTCATTGTCCCTTTAAATCTGGAACTTCATAAAATCGAGGAAGGAAGATCTCGCGCAAAAATTGCACGGGGAATCCAAATTTGTTCGTCGAATCGGAAAATTTGTAAAGTCCGGTTTCGTTAAATTGAGGTTCAACTGTAACCGTAAACCAACACAGATTCAGAAAAGAATTATCATGCGAAACCCTGCTCCTTGAATTTGTGCATAACATTCATTTAAATTTGGAACATAAACAACTAACCGACGCAATCTACCTCAATTTTTTTTAAGGCTTTCAACAGAGTATTTTATAGCCACCTTTTAATGAAACTTCACCAGTTAAAAATTTACCACTTTACAATTGCTTGGATTTCTGAATTTATTTCTGATCGGGTTCAATGTATCATTGGCATCTAAATCGAGCGTAACGTCCTGAGTTCCTCAGGGAAGCATGCTCGGACCACTTCTTTTTTTAATCTACATATGTGTTTGTGTTTCTTCTACAATCCGCCTTTTCGCAGATGACTGCGTAATCTACAGCACTATCTCGTGCCCCGAGGACCATTCGTCCCTTCAAACTGACTTGCCATCCGTTGCACATATGTGCCATAATTGGCAGATGTCACTGAACCTAGATAAATGCCAAGTTCTCACCTAATCTCGTCTTTTGACACCGTTTCTTATAACCACGGTATTAATGACATTACACTCAGTTCATCCTCATCTTATGCATATCTTAAAGGGATACTACAACGAAATTTCGGCGCTCATTTTTTGGTCTATATGTGTTCAAAAGAGCAGTATCAGACGGAACATACCAATATCTTGTTAAAAAAGTCTCGAAAAAGAATTTTAAAACGAATTAAACGATTAGCAAAGAGCACCTGGTGGATGTCGCTAACGCCTCGCTTGTAATGCTCGTCTAGGAACCTTGACAGCTAGTGACGGAGGTTGTCTCGTCTCCGGCCACAACGAGAGAAGGGAGGAAGGAGGAACTCCCCTCCTCCTGAGAATCCCTTTTGTGTGTCGCAGAAGTCGCTATTGTCCCCCTAGAAGATTATAGAAGATTAACCCGTCACTAAAAAATTCATACAAAAGCAGCCGCTTCGGTGGCTGGAAGGACTAGGCCATCCTCTCGACGTCAGCCTCGCCGTAGCTTTGCTCGTCTTGAGACGACCTACGTCACGATTGCGTTGGACGTCACGTGCTCTAAACTGGGCCTTCTCCGAGCGCTTGCCAGAGTGGGCCGTTTATAACGAAAAATGCAGCCACCAGGCTCAAAATACAAACGTGCGATTGTCATTTACGGATATTGTGAATCATATTCAACCTATTTCTGAACACGACGGGAATATTTCAAATTTCGTTGAAGTATCCCTTTAATCTTCATATAACCATCGATCTAACATGGACCACCCACGTCAATCACATCGTTGCTAAGGCAAACAGCCCCCCCCCCCCCCCCCACACACACTTGGTTTTTAGCAATAAAACTTATGCCCCCCCCCCAATGTAAAGCGAATTACCTGTAAAGCGAATTGCCTATCTACCCCTAGTACGTCCAAAACTAGAATATGTTGCATCCATCTGGTCTCCGTGGCAAAATTATCATAGACGCCCTAGAAAGTGTCCAAAAAAGAGCACTATAAGTTATTTATTCCGATTATTCTTTTTACACAAGCGTGTCGGAATTGCGTAAACGAGCAAACCTCCCTAAAATGACCTTAAGGCAAAAAGTATTTGGTTCGACACTGTTTTACAAGTTTGACCACCATAACCCGACAATTAGAAATACAGTGTAGGCCACATATAACGTATGTCGCGGGAGTCGCGAAAATCCACACTATAAGCGGTATCGCGCTATAACCAAAACATAAATTTTTCAGGCCAAAATACATGCCATGAGAATTTTGTAAAAGAATTTATTTTATGTTAGATGAAAAATAAAGCTTAGTTTGAGGAAAATTCTTTATTTCACCAGACTAGTACACTTCTCTCTCAAGTGTGTCACACATTTTAAAAGAAATGAACGACTTTTGCCTGGCGCAGCCTTTTAAGTTTTAACGGCGTCGCGGGTTGCGGACAGACGTTGCGAGCGTTCAGGATTGCTAACCCTAATCACTTTTCTCGGGTGATGAAAACGCGTGAAAATTCGCATCCTTTATACGGTACGCGCCAGTAATACCTTCAACTTGAGCACAGGCATGAAGTGCTCCAAATAAGAAATCCGGGCGATGTTCGAAAACACAAATGTTTAGAAAGCATCACTGTAGTCGAAGTAAACAAACATGATGACACGGGCGTTTCTGCAGTCTTGAGAGTGCTGCCACGACATCGCCGCACGAGTAGGTGGATCTTCCCTTCTAGTACGTGCTGGGTTATCATAGCGACACACAACAAAAATTCACAGTCAAGGATAGCGCTTTTACGCGGAACGATGAGCTTCCACCACGCCGTCTACATCGACGATCACAACCGACGCCATGTTTGCGAATAGAAGAAGTCGGCCCGTGACCGGCATGCAACGCGCGCGAGCACTTCTCCTCGACCTGCGATTGGTCTGTCGTTGCGGTTGTTTCTAACCTTTCCAATGCAGCGGGGGAACGCACGCACGTGAACGACACGTGCATCCCTCCGTCGCTATGGCAACTGATGCCCCTCTCTTCGCTTCTTCGAGCAACCTCCTTGCCCCGCGAGTGCTGCTTGCGGCTAGCGTTGTTATCTAGTGTCGCACAGGAAAGCGTGCTCGCTGCGCTGGTCGTCGGCGGGCTGTTCCAGAAACCGCACTATAGACCGACACGCGCAGCGGCTCTGTTTACCAACACGGCCGGAAGGCCGCGCATGCGCGGTAGCTGTGTGGGCAAAAGCCGCCCGGCTCTCCGTGTTTTTGCCATTGCGTTGTGTGGCGTGCGCTCGTTGTTGACGTTGTAGGGACGTTTCTAGCTTTAATTGTGCGTCGTACTTCCTGACAACGTATGTCGTATGCTATGCCCGACTATTTGAGCTCGCAACCCAAGCCTGAACGGCAGTGTTACCGAAACAAACTGTGCGTGGACGGCGTTGCCTACGAGTGTCCGTACGCCGTAAACAAGGCCTGCTGGACTTCCGACGTGAAGTTGCTGCCACCGAAGTCGACGGCTCACGTCGTCGTTTAATTAGTTTTTTCGCCAAGCCAGTTGACGGCCGTCACGGTGCAGGCGCGCAAGTCTCTCGAGGCGTACGATTGCTTCGAGTCTGTTTCCGCACTGCCGGCGGGATCAGCAGACTGCGGGTCAACGGAAGTGTATTTAATAATTGATTAAATACACACAGTGTCTTGAAGTCAAGTTATAATATTTTTCCTACCCTCATGACCACAAGGCATGATAAGCGGTAACGCTTTGTCCGTTCTGCAGTCTTGGCAGTAACACATTACAAGTAACGGCGTTACCAGGAACGCGTTACTTTTTTCAGTAACGTAGTAACCTACTCGTTACTTCTTCGAAACAGTAACGGGTAACGTACTTACATGACTAGTTTCCAAGTCTTAAAGAAATTACACCTAAATCTTTTCCGTGTTTTTAGGCGTCAAGCCATGTTTTCTTTGCGTTTTATTCGTGAATATTTAGGTGAAACCGTAAAAAGAGATAAAATAATTATGTTAAGTTTTTGCATGAACATAATGTTTTTTGGTATATGAACTTATGCATACCTGTATCATCCAAAACCGTAAAATGTATTACATCATAATTTAAGAAGTAACGCAGAAGTAACGTGCGTCACTTTTTATCGGTAGCGGTAACGCGTTCCATTTATTTTTAGGTAACGTAGCTCGGTAACCCGTACCTTTTATTTGCAAGTAACGAGTAACGTATTTCGTTACTTTTTTTTTGGTAACGCCTACAACACTGCCGTTTTGTCGCCGGTCCCCTTCTGCTGGGTAGTACGGGTGTAGCGAGCCTCCGACGAGTGCTTGGCTGGTGCTTTGTGCACGAACACCGTGGAAACAAAATCCGGGTGGTCTCGATCAGACGACGGTTTCCCTCCACATAAGCAAGCCTCGGGACGGAGATTGAAATGGAAGCCGCACTTGCCTTCAAGAAAGTGCTTGCTGCACAAACGGTCGCTCGTTCGAGGCGAGCATTCTTTCCGCTGGGAACTTGTGGAAACTCAATCCGCCACTTTTCTTGTATATTTCGGTGCAATTAATGGCAAAACAGCTTTGCGGCATGCTGAAATGCTATGACGCCCATGCGAAACGTGCGCCCTTTTGCCCACACCAGCCGGCTCCGGCGCGATCGCAACGCCGCCGCAGCTCCGTGACGTCAAGCCCGCGTGTCGGTCTATAACCGGTATTTCCCTTCGCGCGCCTGCATTTTAAGCGGTACGTAATTACATGGAGTTCTATGGGAGGCGAACCAGTGGTTTAAAAAAAATGCATTATACCCAGTCCTGCACTATAAACGGTTACGTTGTAAGTGGTCTATACTGTAAACTATTTCTTCCTCCCACTTTGTTTTTTCTGAGATTAGACAACAGCTGTAAAATACAACCCATATATGCATCCACCACTTAGTACGCTTATTCCATACCGTTCACAACACTTGAATGCAAGGCTTTACCCGATAACATAGTCACAGCTAACGATATAGACATATTTAAAATAAATTCTAGGCAAGTTTATGGAATTCATTACGGACCAGTATTTTTGAATGTAAGTGTGCTTGCACTTTTTGTCAAATTTTGTTTTCCATCTTTTGTTGATGCTCTTTTGTTTTGTGGTTCATGAGTGTTTATGTTTTTTTATTGTTCTACAAATATGAGCTGCCCATCCCTCGTATGATGCCTGTTCCAGGGTCTTCAAGGTACTAATAAATAGATAAATAAATAAACCCTTACTCTTGGCGGTGAGACGGCCCCCTTTACGAGCCCAAAACCCAACTTTTGGACGAAAAAGTGACGGCTTCCTCACCTGGACAAACTGGATCTGGGCTTTGGGCAGCATGAGCCTGAAGTCACAGGCCGTGGTCAGTTCGGCCCCGCCACCTGGCGGGGGCAACGAGACACTTTCTTTGCCAGGTGCAGGCAGGGGTGGCTCAGCGGCGGGAGGCTCGCGAGATATTGATTTCAAAACAGAGGCGTTCAAGGTTTTCAAGAAGGTTGAGGAGCATTGTAAACTAGAGCCACTGCATATGGCAGCAACCAGGGTAGTGCTATGCTTGTCCCCCTGCCACCTCTCGCTGTAATTGGTGATGCACGGTATTGTAGCAACAGGCAGAGCTGGCTCGGTTTCCATAGCAACCGACAGAGCCGAGCAAGGCGCTGCCGGTGTACCTGTCGTTTGTGTCTTTTGCTTTTCGAATAGCACTAAGTTCAAATTGTCAATGTGCATCCCCACATGCGTTCAACATACAGTGAGTGAGGCAAACAATATTTTTGTAGCGGTATGACGACCATGCACTTCAGATACGTTTGTACCGATATGGCGACCGCTTTTACTCACTTTTGTTGCATTTAATGAACGGATGAAGAGATAAAATGAGCCACACTAATAGAAAGGCCACCAGGTGCCGTTAGCAGCTCAGTTACCATGGTAAACTCTAGGCCCAAAATAGAGATCACCATTAGTGCATTTGATGCTGCGTATCTAGGTCTTTTTGCGTCGTGTAGATACTATGGCAGCTAAAGCTACCATGTGTACAGTGGTTCCATTGTAAACCTGTCATCAATTTTGCGTATTGCGACATCATTTTCGGTTCAAAAGACCAAAAACCAAGCGAACGCTTCAACGGACGGCTGATCCAGGTCTGTGAGTGTGGACAACTCCAAGAGAGGAAGCTGAAGAGCCGCATCACACTGGGCATAAAAGACGGGCGGGAACAACAGAAAACCCAGCTTGCGCAAGGTCGTGGAAATTTGGCGCACGTGAGAGAAGGGCAAAGAGCGGGTACAGGAGATTCAGAAAATGACCCAAGGAGGCCGATAAGCGTGAGGGCAACTCTGGAGTAGCAAACCGCACTAAAAACGAAAGTGTGCGTAAAGTGTGGTTACGTGGACTACAAGGAATCGAGCCTGTCCTGCAGAAGGCAAGAAATCCAAGCAGTGCGCAAACCCAAACACTCTGCAAGATTGTGTTGGCCAAAGAAACCGAGTAAGAGAGGTCCCGGACAGGCGAAGCCCCAAAAGGTTGACAGAAGACAGAATGCAGAGACAGCTACTTTCTGCATACTCTCTTGTCAGGGCACACTCAGAAGGGTGGAAACTGGAAAACAAAACTACAGATCCAAGGCAAGCCAGTGGTTTGCAACCATGAGCAACCAAGCTGTTCAGTGATATTACTAGAGGAACCAAAGATCATGTGCAAGGCAGTGAAACCAAGCAGTGCACTCCTAAGCACATTCTTCAGACGGGAAAAGAAAGCTGCTGCTAAGGTACGTAACATGCAGAAAACATAGAACTGTGCTCGGGCACAGTTGTTTACTGCACAAGGACCAGTGCAAGCCTGGCTAAGCTTCGCCTGACTTGTGACTAAAACGAGAGGAAGGCCGACTTTACGAGGCAGCATGCCCGTTCAAAGAGGCTTTGAAGTGCCTAGGTGAGCTATCTGTGGTGTGGTGTACCACATGAGAGGGCACCAAGAATCCTATGGGGCGTAGTCAAGCCAGCTCGTAGCGATGCACTGGCTCTTTGGAATCAAATCAAAGCTGAGCTTGAATTGCATGGAAGCAAACTGAGTAATAACCCCTGTCATTGAAAAAAACTGAACAAGACAGTCAGATGGCATTGACAGTCGAGAAAGAGAAAATAGGAATATGCTTGGACCCTGTCGATTTCAATAAAGCTCTCAAAAGAGAGCATTACCACATGCTGACACTCGATGACACTAGACAAACAGTGAGGATGGCAAGTATTTTTCTATGTTGGATGCTGCACAGGGTTCTGGCAGACCAGGCTGGACAAGTTCAGCTCATACCTGTGCATCACGAGCACATCTTATGGAAGATACAGATCCCTTCATATGCCATTTGGGATTACAACAGCCCCAAAGATCTTCCAAACACCAATGTAACAAGTTCTCCAAGGTGGTGCTGAAGCAGTCATGGATGACACACTAGTGTGGGCCACACAAATGAAGAGCGTGATGCACACCTGTGCAGTGTCTTGCAGCAGTGCCAAAAGGTGAACATCAAGCTGAACTTGGTAAAGTTCCAGTTCTGTAAAACAAAGGTGCGCTACCTCGAGTGTGTGCTAAACAACAAAGGACTTTCAGTAGACCCGAACAGTGCAGAAGACATCCTTGCAGTCCAAGTATTGGAAAATGGAAAGGAAGTCAAGACGTTTCTAGTTTGTTGCTAGGTTCAGCCCGAAGATATGTGCTCCTCTTGAAAATCTGCTGAAGAACAATGCTTGGGTATGAACTAACCCCCAAAAGGAAAGTGTACCATGACAAAATGCAGCCACTTATGCTGCAGGTAGATGCTAGTCAGCGTGCAGTTGGAGCAATCATCCTGCAGACTGGAGAATTCCCAGGTTACTCTTCTCACTGAACGAAGTGCAAGGGGGGTACGCACAAATTAAAAAAGAAATGTTAGCCATTGTACAAAGCTGCATCTTTAGTGACTACACCATTTACCCGGCCAAGCAACCTAGTAAAAAGCAACCATTGTCCTCTTGAAACCTCTACACCAATGTCTATTTAGTATTCAAAGAATGCGTATTGACTCTCCCGAAGTACTCGCTACAGATTAAGTACACGCGTCTGAGAAGAAAATGTTAACTGCAGGTGCCCGGGCCCGTCCCAGTTTCCGTCAAAAGAGGAGGTGTTGAAGGAAGAACACTTCCAAGTGAATGGAGCTTCCGCCAGCAGTCTCTGCAGAAAAACTTCGGAAGATCGCAACGCGCCATGATGAGAACCTTCGCACCCAGTATGCAAGCATGTCTTGGCTTGAAGACAACACTGCCATCCCGGAAACAATACCCGCATACTGATGCCATATAGAGACAAGGTTGGTACAGAAGATAATCTCCTCTTCAGACCAAACAAACTGGTCATTCCCAACAGCACGAGGAACTGTGTCATGGACCTCCTGCAAGCAGCGCAGAGGGGAACAAAAAACGTGTAACGACGTACCAGAGACATATCAATTTTTCGCTGGGTATGTCGGCAGATATCCAAGAGAAACCCAAGAGGTGCACGCTTTGCGGAAAATTAACATAGGTCCAAGAACTAAGAACCACCCATGATGAGCCACAATATATCAGAATCACCCTGGCAAACTGTTGATATATATAGCTTTTACACCAAACAGGAGAGGAGTATGTGATGATTGTTAATAACTACTCATTTTGTTTTGAAGTGCGATACTTGAAGCATAGAATGACAGAAGTTGTCGTAAAGTTGTGCCAAAAGGCCTTCACCACCCATGGTCTTGCCCCCAAGCTGGTGAGTGACAATGGGCCTTCATTTAACAGCTATAAGTTGTTGCAATACATGTTGCGACATTGTTACCGCAACATCAGTTCCCCACTACCCCCGTTGAAATGGAATGACGGTAAGCGCCGTACAGGAGGCAAAAAAGCTGCTGAGCAAGGTGCCCTATGATGTGGCAGAGTTCTTCTGTTCCCCACTGGAGGGGAGAAACATACTAAGAGACAAGCTCCTTCAGCCTCCAGTTCAATGCCTGATGGGATAGAAGGACGAGAATACAGCTACCCCCCCACCACAAGCTCCTGGATGCCACCACCCCAGCAGGTGACAGCAACACATAAGGATACTCTTATGGTCTCTCCGTTGGACAGCAAGACCTCGGAGTGGTCACCAGCCGTCGTCCCCAGCACCCAGAACCTACAATGTGGCTAACAAGGATGGCCAACAGCTCATTGCAAGCGAAGGCATCTTTGCACCCACAACTCCCCAACAGAGACAAAGATGCCACACTCCCAGCATGAGAAGTATGAGACAGTGCCGAAAAAGCCATGACGCAAAGTAGAGTGCGAGCAAAGTTCTCTTCGGTAACAAAGGGAGGTGTAGCCAGCGTCATCATCACCATCATCAAGATGATGACAATGACATTGCAGCTTTTTCCCTTTAAAATGGGCAGGCTCAAACCAAGTTTGTGTTTAAGACTGGGACCTTATGAGTCTGAATGGCCCCTGAGGTAAACTTTCTTCCACCAGTCCTTTAGTTTTTCCTTGGTGGCCTCTACAGTGGGCCTGTGCAGTCTGCTGGAGATCACTTTTGACTTGATAGTAGGGCTGGCTACCTGTACTCCTCTCTCTGTTTCATTGGGTTGCTGAGGTTGTCCCTTTGGTATAAGGAAGTCCAACATCTCGGTGAGTGCCATGGACTTCCACAAATGTGAGCCATTATCCTGTAGCCGAATAGGCTGGAGATTTGCATAATCTAGAACGACGTGTGCCACAGTATCGTTGCAGGACCTGTGTGCCCTGCACAGTCGTGGTAAGTGACGTAAAACTGCCGTCCATGTCGCAGCGTCCGGAGGGCAACCCTGATCCCGGAAGATCATGCACTTTACCTGGCGTTGTCACAAGTAAAGCTCGCCAAGAGAGCATCTTTATCTCTTGGTGATCGTAGCGTAATGTTGCGCTTACGCACGCGCGGACCACAAGCACAAACCCATTCATGCGCTTCGGCCGGTGTAGGCTATGGGGTGGCCCCCGGGACCAACTCACCAAGGGCCCTTCCCTGGACCAGGCAGGCACTGAGCAGGGGCAGGTCGTGCAGGGCCGTGAGGGCGTCGTGCATGAGGGCGGCCATCTGGGCCCCCTGCTCGGGCGAGTCCAGGGCTCGCATCATGTCCAGGTCCCCTCCCGAGCAGAAAAGGTCCCCCTCGCTCAGCACCAGCAGTGCCCTGCCCAGGGGCCAGGCCTCCAGCTCCGCCACCGCGTCGTGCAGTGCCACCATCATCTCCCCTGCGCGTCCGGACGGGCGTCCCGTGGTTGCCCCTAGGGCCTCTTCTCAAAGGGGCACTGAAGTGGGCTCCGAGATTGTTTCTTCATAGCATTCAATCTATGTGCCCATAAGTATCGTTGAAAGTCGAGAATTACAATCGTGCATAGCTTCTTTAACGTGAAACATTCTTTGGCTAGGTGTATGGCATTTCGTGAAGCCCAAAAGCAAAGACTGCATAAAAGCGTGGCCGCGAGGCTCGACACTGACTGCTTGACGGGTGAGAGAGGAGGAGTAAGGTGCTCAACACTGATTGGTTAACGGGGAAATCATGTTACCAGAGAGGTAAGTGAGGAGCTCGACCAGCTACGCGCATTGAGGGAGAGGGGCTCGAGAGTATGGAATGCTCTGAAGGATCGCCAGCCCGATTAGTGGTAGTATCACTTCATTCTAGGAACAACTATCAAGTGTACACGTGGTACGTGTTAGACTATCTTATCAAGAGTGCCAAGAACAAAGGCGTCTGGCATCTGGAAACTCAGAGCATCGCCAAACGTTTGTGATGCTAGAATGTTTCCCATAAATATTTGCCATAAATATTTTCCACTATAAATGCCACCAAACATAACAAAATAAAATTTTTCTGAAGTTTATATCACAAGTGCTTTGCTACGTTTGGGTGTGCTTTAATTAGGAATAAAGGCCCTCCGTGACGGTGATTTTGCGTCATCTACGATGCTTAGGTCAACTAGATTGAGTTTGTGCCATAAAAAAAAAACCCGGAATCCACTTTAGTGCTTTAGCTTTAAGTGTAGCCTCGGAGTATCGACACTCCATTCGACAGCTGCCTCCATTTTGTTGTCTGAAACAAAGCGGGTGCAATTGGCTATAGTCACAACTCAAGCTTTGGACGCAGCATAGGCAAGCTCTGGTGATATCGCTTTGCTCCGTCGTGTTTTTTCTGGGGGATGGAAAAGCACTTCCTGTGATCTTCAGATAACTGCCAACAATGACTCTAAGTAACAAGGTGACTCAAGTGTGGTTACTTTGAAGCGTAGCTTATCTCTTCAACTATTTTGTGCTACATTGTCGAGGCTAGCATAGCTTCCGCAACGCTCCAACTCTGTCAAAGCTATACTCCGTTTCACGATAACTAGGCAAACTGGGGAGGCTGCAGCCCCCATGGACCAATAAGGGCGCCAGAGCAAGGCACGTGATAACACTCCATGGTTGAGGCCACCGAGGCCTCGTTACCGCCACAGCAACAGAGCCCTCCACAACAAAAAGTAGTTCTTGGCTGCTGCTTCTTTTAAAGACAATTGAACTCGCGCAATTCTATCTATAACTAGATGACATGAAGAATAAAGAATAAATAATCACAAATTTATGAGTTTCAATTACATTTAAACCAAAAAAGTGATGCCATATCCGTATCCACTCAATTGTTTTCGCCTTGTAGTGCCGTGGCCATTGGCAATCACAACTGTGTAATTGACTGTTTCCTCTTTAAACATTGCACTGTGCCCTGGCACTAGCAACCGTCACAGATTCGTGGCTAAATTGAGCGTATGGTTGTGTCATGAACTGCTTCCGAAGTGCTCGCTATTTTAGCGGGTGGAAATGTTGCTGCGGTGGACGTTCATCCGAAGTTGGTTTGTTTCGGAGCAGACAATTTTTGGCAAGCAGACAACAACCGGTCCCTCTGGGCCTCACGCCTCGCATTTGTTGCAATGACACAAATGCTTCCGTGACATCAGGTCATGTGCCTCGCTCCGATGCTCTTATTGGGTCGCAGAGCCCCAGCTTCCACAGTTCGCCAAGTTATTGTGAAACGGAGTATAGTAGCACGAGTTCAAGTGAATGAGATGCAAGAAGAAAGCTACACGCTCTCGCGGTGGTGGTGCTTGGCTGTGGCACTGTGGAAGCTATGCTAGTTTCGACAATGTGGTACAAAATAGCCAAGTACAATTGCGACCGAGGCAGCCCCCAGCGTACCTGAGAAGGAGTTGCGCTTGCCCGGGTGGCTGAAGACCAGCTCGCCGATGCCCGAAGCGTCGTCCTTGCGAAGGGATACGGAGCCGCCGCGGAAGCCCAGGAACTTGGTCCGGGTCTCTTGGGACAGTGCAGAGATGCCTCGGCGGCCCGCCGACCTCGAGCCAGCGTGCAGCCGGAGAAGCGGCATTGCGCGAGCGGCCATCCAAGTCATTGCGTCTCCGCTGTGCCGGGTGGACGGTCAGCTACCGCCGGGGCGCTGGCAGGGTCAGCTGCGCTAAGGAATTGAACTGGCTTGCCAAAACAGAGGGCGTGCTTCCTTTCACCGTTTTTACGTCGTTCAGACGGTGTGATGGGCCTTTAAAAGGACAATAGCTTTTTAACATAACACATAACGACTTGCACCCATAGGTGGTGCACTCAATATTTGAGAGTATGAAAATATGAACTCACTCGAGTCTAAAGGAAAAAATAATGTTTTTCCTTATGGATGAATTTTTTTTTACAAAATCGTCAGAGACAGCGAGCAAGTTTGCCTGCCTTTTGCACAGCTGGTACAGTTACGTCGCAGCGACGAGCTCCAATTGGAAGGAGAGTGGGTAGATGGAAAGCCTAGCCGCTTTTGCTTTTACCCACTCCACCCCTCCAATCAGAGCAGGCAAGAGCACCGTTTGCTGCTCGTACAAAGTGGCAGTGGCATTAGAATTAGCATTCGGATACGGAACGCTGGCGTCGTCTGCTAGACCTAGCTGTCTTTCCTTTTCTACAGCTTTCGAAAATCCACCTGTTTATTACGAACGAGGATTTAGCCTTCTAGAAAGGAAAAAAGAAATACCTCGAAGCAGGCACGTAGCCAGGATTTTGTTTCGGGGGAAAGGGGGGGGGGGAGGGCACCCATGACAAAATGCTGTATGAGGGGGAGGGGGGAGAGGAGGTCCCAGCGAAATGGAAGATTAAGGGGGCCCCCCCCCCCCCCCTGGCTACGTGCCTGCCTCGAAAAGTATTTTACCAAAATTTTCCAACCGATCCTTAAGAGGACACATTTGAACTCCAAAGTGCCGCTTGTATGTGAAATCACTGGTACGTCCGAGGGCAAAAAGGGCGGTGGTCGGGCACCAGATTCCGATATCTCGCAAGGTCTATTCACCGATACTTTTTGTCAAATAAACGGCCAGTTTAAAATAAACCACCGAGCAAACATACTAGTGCGAGTGTAAGGAGAGATGTTCGTCTTGGTAGAGATGCTTCAATTGGAGGCGATTTGGGTCGAATCTCCGGGTTCCGCCAAGTCTAGCCACTGACAAGGTGAGAATAGCTGGGAGGAGCTTCTGTTGCCCCGCCTCCAGTACCAGCTTCCTGTGTTCCCTGCGTCTTGTGCACCTCAAGCGCGCATGGCAGAAGGCATGGAGCATGTGCTGGAGGCCAGGTGTCCCAAACCCATTTTCACTAACTCAGTGAGTATAGACCATTCCACTAGCAAGAGCGCAGAAAGAGAAAATGCTCTCCCCCTCTCACCCCGCGCGTTGTCTGCTTTGCCGAGTGAGCTGTATTAGATGCGCGGATTTTGATACATATGCAAGTTATTGTGTCATGCTATGATTGATAAAAAGACTAATCCAGTCCAATAGCACTGTTACCTGCGTGCAAATAAAAAAGAGGAAATGGGAAAACTGTGTCAGAGTGGCTGGTCTCTCCGGCTAAAATAAGTCCAGTTGCTGTAGCTTCTTTACTATACAAAGATTGTACCTGCAGTGTACTCATTTAGCGACAATAACTAGAAGTCTAAATAAATAAATAAAAACATGCTCTCCTGATACAGTAGGCACAGCGGTTGAGGGTAGTACTGCTGGCTGACTCCACTGCTATTGAAGTAGCAGAACTAAGATACGCTAGTTGATCATTTACTGAAATAAAACAACAGAGCGCTATAGGCTGATTTTGGAGTAGCCATAAATACTCTGAGAACGCAAACCACTTTACAACGGCAGCCAGGAGCGAGGGTTCGATGTTCGGTACAGCCCACCGGTACAGCCCAAAGATGGAGAACGGCAACCTCCTGGTTTGTAGTCTGCTAGCGGAATCGGCCATGTGCCCTCTCTCTCGTTTTACCTTGCTGAACCTGCTAAACTTCCTGGATGTGTGGAGAAAGAGCTGCGGTTGAACAAAATGGCACCACCCTGAGAGTGGTAAACGGAATGGTCTATAGACCATTCCGATAAAGAGCTTCTGGCAGGCGCCATTGTCAGAGGTTGCGTGCATGGCACTTGCTTTCCTCGCATCTCAAAACCACCAACCCCAGGGTACTGGGCTGTGGAGATCGCACTTTCAACTCTGGGTACACTGGAAAGGCGTATATCTTCTGAGCAGAGTCGCTTGCAATGCATGTTGCACCTCATATATCCGTCGTTTGCGGTCGCTCAGAAAAAGAAAGGACAACTTAATTCCCTTACCGGTGCCGATTAGGGTAGCCGACTTTCCAGACTCTTTGAATTCCCTGAAAATTTCTGGTTTTCCAAGCAAACGACGACTGCAGGGGTAGAGCTTCGTCACATACGTCAACACACCACCTCTCCCGTGTGTGAACAGACGGTTTTCGGTGGGCTTGCTGTTCGCATAACATTGTGGACCAACGTGGTACTCATTATGACAAAACAGATAGAAAAAAAAAGGAAACAAATCTGGTTTTTGTCTCTCTCATTTACCCAAATAAATGCCACAGTGGACAGCCATGTCGCCGGCGGTTTCACAGGGGTAGGCATTTTCATAAGAAGGATACATTTTTCGTTCTTTATCCTTCAAAAAAAAAAAAAAAAAAAGCTTTTGTGCTGAAGTATACATTGCAATCTGTTAGAAAACGAATTTCTACGGTTCACTCAAAAAGGCCACTGCACCATCAAAATCACGCGCTACTTTACGAGAGTAGGACAAAATGGTCCCGAAAAAATTGGCCCCAGGCAAAATGTTCTGGACAAAATGGTTTCAAACGTAAAACAGGGCAAAATGGCCCAAACTGATTCGTTGACTCTTTGGGCACTCTTCCATAGTGTTAATAGACTACTACTCTGAAGCTTTATTCAATGCACGTGCAATGCATATTCTAACGTAATCAAGCTTTTCGTGATATATTTTAGACAACTAAAGGAGCCCAAAACTTAATTTTCTATTAATGCTCATGTGGCTTAATGGTTCCTATTCACATAGGTGGGAGCACTGCATAAAGTTGGAGCCCGGAAGTCACTACAGTTATGAACGCATAGACTAAAAGCGCGAGCTTGCGACACACTCTTTGCGCTTGACTGGATTTACCGGTAATAACACAAGAAAAGTAGACAAATGCCATTAGCATGTTTTCTTTTCAGCACTGCTTCAATCAACTTGTAACGTCGACTGCACTCTGACTTTAGTGAAGCATAGTATAGGTGTGGGATAAAAATAGTCGCACCTTGCGAAAGTATTTTCTTAAATTTCGAATGAGTGCAATGGAGCTACAAAAATTTTATCTACAGTCTAGGACGGTGTGAAAAAGCCCAGGCGGGACTCCGAAGACGTCCGGTGCTATCTAACAGAACAAAGCTGAGCTATCACCGAGGCTATTGTGTGAATGAGCGGTATTTCAGTGGCTGTTTGATTTTTGTCGCTACTCCCTGCTTGGAAGTCAAAGACTGCCGAGTCAACGCCGACAGCACTAGTGCTTGGTGAAATAAAATAAAAACTGCTTGACGTCATTTATTCCGCCAACTTATTATCAAACACACAAATTGATCGCTTAGCCTGCCAACCCAGTGGATTTAGCAACATTGATTTTGCCTATTGTCACGGAACGACTCTATATTCAGCAAAATCAGCATTAACTCGGCCACAGCTGCAGTGGTCAAGCGGGAAGTGAAAACAAAAAATTGAAAAACCACTAAAGCCTCAATACCGGTTGAGTGTTCTTCCGATAAATAGCACTGCAGGTCTTGTAAGCCCCCAACTAGCTTCCTTCACATCGTCCACGACTGAACATAATAGGGAGCATTCACTGGTTGCCATATTTGTGGGTGATGTTCAGAGCGCATGCTCCGAACGAGCTCACATCAATAGGCTTCTAATACCGGCACTCTTGATGGTGCGGAATGCACGTTGCAAAAGAACTGTGGAAGCTCGCCATCAGCACGCGCTCAGCAAACGCGCACACAGCTATGGCTGCCAGTGAATACTCCCTATAAATCGGACACACATATTGTGATGGTGTGTTATGGAACCACTTTTTTTTTGTCTCGTGCTGAATATGCCAAATATTTTAGGTACATTATCTGACATATAAACTACTGCGGACATTACAACATATGAGACAGCCCTCTGTGCTTTGTGGGCTTTCCTGCCAGTTTTTCAAGCATTAAATTAAACTTGATTTGGAACATATAGGTCCTATCTTTAAACTCTTCTACAATCTAAGAAATAATGAAGCTTGTGGAAACCTTAGGTGCAGCAAACCCCCAGATCATGTGTTTCAGCCAATATTGCCTGGGGGGTATACTTTGATATTATTTTTATAGTATACTTTACCCTTCTCCAAGGTTCAGCTACTGGCATGCAGTGTGTTCTATATTGGATATAATTAAAAAAAAACGTTAATGTTTTATAACCTAAGTATTCAGAAAAAATATTTTAACAATAATAATCCCTAAAGAAGGGGAACAAAAGACAAACGCAAATCTCTTAACACAGCAAGGTGACTGGTGTGCGACTGAAAAAATCCTCCTGGTCCTGGTATCGAACCAGGGACCTCTCCATTTTCAGTGGAGCGCTCTACCAACTGAGCTAATCAGGAGTTAGATGTCAGTAGAGCAAACGTTAAACGAGTTTCAACAGCTGCCACCAGTCTAACACCAACAAGGATAATTGGCATTGTTTCATGTTTGGAGCCCCTTCTCCAGAAATTATGATTGTTATTCTTGTCCAGCTAGCTTGCACCTTTGCATTAATTGCATTATCATCATACCTTAAAATGCATGCCATTCACCCTTGTTGGTGTAAGACTGATGGCAGGTGTTAAAATTTGCTTGCTCTACTGACATCCAACTCCTGGTTAGCTCAGTTGGTAGAGCGCTTCACCAAAAATGGAGAGGTCCCTAGTTTGATACCAGGACCAGGCGGATTTTTTCAGTCGCGCACCGGTCCCCTAGGCATGTTTAGAGATTTGTGTTTGTCCTTTGTCCCCATTATTCCCGTTCTCCAGGGATTACTATAGTTATTCTTGTCCAGCTCGCTTGCACTTTTGTAATTATTGCATTATCAAAAATATTTGTTTTTATTCCAATTATAGTAAGCAAACTATACTGCAAAATTTACCTGGGACAGTGTTGAGAGGCCCTGCAAGCACTTTTTTACTGGTTTTTAATTTGCACCAAACCTGAGCGCACTGACCGTAGTAACGTAATGTAACTTTTCTTTTCTCGAGTTTCGCTTTATTTTAAAAGTTATAGGCAAATTAAAATTACAAAAACAAGCAAAAAATAACCTCCCTCATGACGTCCTTGGTTGCTTGAGTGGCCGTGAACTAGAGGAGGGATAGTCAGCTCAGCGAGCACTCACAGCTGCTGCACTGCGTGTCGACGGCGTGAGAGGGCGCCACTAAAGCGTGTTCTGGATAGGCTGTATACAGCGGGCAGCCAGAGCGGCTCTCATTGCATTTGCTGCACGATTAAACACTAATTCGGCATGACACTTCATTGGCCACAAACGACAGCAAACACGGGGTAAAGACCAGTTCAGAATGGGAGCCACTTCATGCTGCCGTACCGTGAAATGGCCAAAACGCAAGACAAAGCTACTCGCTGAAGGCCTTCGGAACGCTCGGAGCCGGTCGGATCCTCCAGTCCGTAAACGAACGCAGCGCCACCGCGTACATCCGGGATCTTTCCGTGTCGGCGCCTGATCCCACTACTCTTTCCTAGGGGTGTCGCGAACTTTTGTCGAACCGGATTTTTAGGTCGAACTTTCGGGGTTCGACTGGGTCGAACCGGTTCGGCGAATCTTCAAACTTCTCACCAGATTCGACCGGTTCAACTTTGTGGACAGTGTGGCCAGACCTTGATACAAGCATGTCTAGGTTTGGAGAATTTTTTTTTATGCAGGAGGTTATTTCATTTTATTAACAGTTGCAATTAAAAGAAACCAGTTCTAATCACTAAAGAAGTTAATAACTTAATTCTTCATACACTATTAACTGAAATAACGAATCAGCGCAGCCCTTGATTCATCCCTTAGCCATCACCATCCAATCCGAAGCCAACTGGCCAGCCTGTCGTGCATGCGCACACGAGTCGCACCTCAATATAAGGTTCGTTGAAATTTCCACTAAAAGTTAGAAAAAGTCGAACCTGGTCGAACTCGAACCTCCGCCGGTTCGCGACACCCCTACTCCTTTCTAGTATGCGCCGCCTTTTCCACCGCTTGGTGGCGGGTATGTCGACGGGTCATTTCTTGTTTCTGTATTTTATAAACTGCATTTGTTTCTTTTCTGATCTAAAATACTGAACAAAAACTACTTCTATAAATAATTGAAACGGTTCGCGCCACTTATGTTTTGTATTTCGACTAAAAAGAAGCTTCTAGCGGCTCTGACCAGTAGTAAACCCGGGACCAAAGACGTCACATTTCGCACGCTTTCGGTACCGCGGGGGCGCCCCCGTCGGTGGAGGAGGTTTCCGCGTCGCCCGGTGAAAATATGATGCACTGATATTAGTCACTCTCTCTGTGCCCGCTGGTTTGCCCGAACCCCAAGAGACATGGAAACCGCAAAAAAGGTAGACGCTTAAATATGATTGCAGGGCCCCTTTAAGTAGGTTTAGAGATTGTGCACTTAATTGAAGTACATTATCTGAGTATGTACTTGTACTTTGCAAAAGTACTTTAATGTGAAACATTCTTTCGCTAGGTGTTCGGCATTTCCTGAAGCCCAAACGTGAAGCCTAGATAAAAGCGTGGCCTCAAGGCTCGACACTGATTGGTTGATGGGCAGGAGAGGAGTCGGGTACTTGATGTTGATAGGTTAACGGGGAGATCATGTTCTGGGTAGGCGAGGGGGAGCTTGACCACCTGTGTGCTCTGAGAAAGGGGGCTCGAATATGGAAGGCTCATAAAGATTGCCAGGTTTATCAGCCCAATTGTTTGTAGTATCGCTTCATTCTAGGAACGTGTAGACATATGGTATGCATTAAACTATCTGATGAAGAGCGCCATCCAGGGGTGGATTTAGAGGGGGGGTCCCGATGTCCTGACCCCCTCTTGATTTTTGCATGTGTAAAATTTAGGGCGTGAAACGAGGGAGGGGGGGGGTTCTAGACATATGGTACGCCGACCAACACCTGACCCCCCCCCCCCCCCCCCCCCCCCCCTCAGGAAATTCCTGCATCCACCCCTGGCGCCATCGAAGTGGGCGTCAGGAAACAGAGTATCGCTAAATGATTGTTATGCTGGTATTTTCTCAGGAAAGTACAACTCCCAACTTCAAAGTACATTTCTTAACTTTGTCTTGCTAAGTTTGTATTACAAAATGAAGCTTTGTAAACCCTTAAGAAATACTGGGAGGGATTCTCTACCTTCACCAGAAATGCGAGCTAACGTCACATTGCTCCGTTTGTACCAAAGGCGGCTTTCCTGCAGCATTTTGAACTCTCGCTCGGTCCTCCACGAGAAGGTTTCTTGCGGAAGCTACGAGGCTGACGTCATGCTTTTTCCATTGTGTACTTGTAACAGCTAGTCCTTTACTTTGAAAGTACATCATATT